GACAACAACTACAAACAATCACCAAGACACAGCAGGGATCCGAAGATGTGTCGATGATATGATGTTGAACCATACTATTGGGACTGTCCAAGCTGTAAGAAAGAATATCAGAAGAGCAATCCTCACCATACCAAGATATCTGGCCAATGTAGATTCGCCGAAAAATGGAAGCTGCCAGATAACTTTGGACAGCCGCGCCCAGCGGGGCAAGCCGCTCCTGCGGCGCCAGCCGCGGAAGCGGCTCCAGCCGCAAAAGCGGCGCCAGCCGCAAAAGCGGCGCCGGCCGCGAAAGCGCGCATACGCGCGCCTAGGCCGCCACGGCCCGGTGAAGGCGATCCAACCGCAGGCGCCAGCAGCCATGACATTACCAGGGCCGAGGGGGCTTATGGTAACACCACTGGCGCTGGTAGCTCTGACGATCACCGCAGACTGCCACAAGTTGCAGCAAGGCGCGGACGCATGGAGGGAGGAGATCCCCCACCGCCGCCGCAGCCTCAAGCAGAGCCGAGGCCAAGGCCAAGGCTTCCTGATTGGACTCGCTTCGACGTTCAGCTCAGCCTTCAAAACCTGCGCAGCTTTGACCCAGCTGTAGTGCAGCGAGAACTCCGCAAGCTCCACTTGAGATGGTTTCATGCCAAGGAACCAAAGATGCGGATGATTCTAGCTAAGGTTGGTCTGGGTGAAACCCGTTTGAGTCTGATCAAAGGCATTTGCGACTCGTGTAGAGAATGTCGTGCCTGGGACAAACCAGGCAACACGGTGATGCCTTCTGTGTCACTGCCAGGACGTTTCAACGAGGAAGTCGAATGTGATCTTTTCTTTTACAAACAGGAACATATTGTTTTTCACATCATCGACCGTTGTATTCGCTGGGCAGCTGGCACAGAGATTCCTGATAAGACTATGCATGCTGTTCTCGATGCCTATCACACAACTTGGATGCAACATGGCCCTGCTAAGATCCTATACTCCGATGGGGAAGGAGCACTGAATAACGATACAGCAAAGGCCATCCTTAAATCCAAGGGAACAGAGCTTCGCATCCGAGCGCGTGGCCAACGCGCCACGACTATCGAAGCTAGGAATGGCATCCTGCGACACCTCATACACGTGATGGGAGAAGAATTGAATAGATTGAATATTCCTCTGAATTTCACTCGTCTTTTACATGAAGCCTTGTTTGCCAGCAACGCATTTACCTTCTACAACGAAGTTTCTCCGTATAATGCGCTGTATGGCAGACAACCAGCTATGCTTCCCGATTTCCCTGTCTTGGATCATGATCAGTCCGCTGAATCATCAGATCACTCAAGGGAGGAGACAATCAGGAGGGTTAGTCTGGAGGCAATCACGCAGGCCACTGCGGTTGCCAAGACGAACAGGGCTCTCCGTACGAAGACTACTGCTACGGGTGAATTTCACTACAAAGAGGGAGATCTCGTGGACTATCATCGCCCGACCACCACGAAAGACGACTGGGGTGGATGGAGTGGTCCATACCCGGTCATCCGCAACGAACCTGACCGAGGTCAGGTCATCGTGAAGGTCGGCAGTCGCGAAGTGCGAGTACAGTATCCTGACACACGACATACGCTGTACATCGAAGCACTGATGGTCCGCGAGATAGGATCGGACAATACGGCCCTTCGGACAGTATTGGCCTTTATTGCCGGTCTGCCAGCGGGGAAACCCGCCATGACTTTCGGATACCTACCGGCGAAACAGGGCCGGCTGCAGATGACGGCTGCGAGCCGGCTTTCGCCTAAGGTGCACTTGGCTCTTCAGTATCTCATTCGCAACTATTTTCGCATTGAAAACGTGGTTGCTGTACGACTTGCTAAGAGCCTGACTAAGTTGCCTGCTGCGCCCTATGCAGACAGCTGTACACTAGTGCACTATGATAACGATGTGACCCCTGGCTTTCATTATTATGAAGCTGATGGCACTGCCTTGAACATCTACGACATCACAGGATCTACACACTCACGCATCATCCAGTGTCTTAAATCCAAGAAGCCGCCTGCTGGATTCGACCGAGACCTCACTAAGTTTGAGGAACTCGCTGATGGTCCACCACCAAGCGAGCCACCTCCAGCAGCTGTTCCTAAGCAGCCTCCTGCGGAGAATGATGGTCGGCTCCCGACCATCATAGAGGAAACAGAAGAAGATCTGGATGTCTTTGTCTTGAAGTCGTGGTATGCTGAACTGATGGATGACAGAACACTCCTTGAAGCTGACACAGAAGAAGTCATGCATGCAGTTCCGACATACATGACAGACTCACAGTGCGTGTTGGTCTCTACGACCTGTGAAGATGTGCAAGGCCACTTGCCGGTGCGGGTTCACCCGCCAGGATGCGACATGGACACTTCTTACTACGTTCATTTGTGCTCCACGGATCCGGACAGCCAATATGATCTGGATTCCGACGAGCACGGGAAGTACATCGAGCTTTGCTTCGCAGCAGACATGTCCAAAGTCGTCCTGTCCGAGCAGCAACACCGATTGTTGGATGACAGCAGCGTCACAACTATGCGAGTATATGTTAGCGCTGCCTCCAAACGTGCCGCGGTCGTCAAGGAAGACGATCTACTCACGAAGGCCGACATTCAAGCGAATCCGGTCAAAGTTTCCAAAGCCCTTTACACAGAATTGAAGACTTGGCTTGACAACAAGTGCTTCCAGATGACTGACTTGAGCACAGCGTCGAACATCATGACTTCACGCTACGTATACAAATGGAAGTTTGTCAAGAACGAGAAGGGCGAAATGGAACGGACGATCAGGTTACGCTTGGTACTCCGTGGCTTCATGGACATTGAAGCCTTCGATGTTGAAACCTTCTCTGGCACGGCAAGGAGGTCAAACCAGAGACTGCTCGCAAGTTCTGCTGCGTGCAACAAAGCTTGGATCATCGCTTCCCTGGACATCAACATGGCTTTCTTGAAGGGACTGACCTATAGCGAGCTCGCCGCGGCAACGGGCGAGAAAGAGCGTGTGGTGTGCTTCACACTACCTCCTGGGTCAGCAGCTGTCCTTCGCACACTGCCAGGCTTTGAGTCATATGACGAATCAAAGCATTGTCTTCGGTGTCTGAAGCCGGGGACGGGCACGAAGGATGCTCCCAGGGCATTCTCGTTGAAGCTCAGGTCCATCACTAGGAGCTTTGGACTACAGCCTACTTCATACGACGAAGAGTTCGAGATGAGCTCAAACCTCTTGACAGCCAAACACGTTGATGACATCAATATGACTGGGAAGGAAGATTCTATTGACAAGTATGTCAAGTGTGTTGAAGATACGTTTGGAAAGTGCAAACTGAACAAGCACACATACACAAACTGTGCCGTTCGGTACAACAAGACCGATGATGGGAGCGTCACTCTTGATCAGGACGAATACATCAAACAGCTTCGTCCTATCACACATCCAGAACTCACAGGCGCTGATCCTGAGAGCAAAGCGACAAAGACGATTTCTGATATGTTCGTCAGTCTTCGTGGCGCTCTAGCCTATGCGTTGATCACGCAGGTATGGCTGATGGTCTATGTTGTTTCACTACAACGTATCCAGGAACCGACAAACATCCAGGTACGACGACTAACGCGGTTACCAGGAAATTGCAGGCAGGTCCGAAGAAGATCGTGTATCAAGCTATGACTCCAACAGGAGAGGTCGACCTGCATAGCGATTCTGGCTATCGTCGTCTCAACGGAGATGAAGACGACGAAGTCAAAGGCTACGGTATCCGCGGGGCTAACCTGCTGAGGCGTGGCCACACGCAAGCGGGGAAACCCGTCGTGCACCTGGTGGACGCATACTGCAAGTCTCATCGACTGCAGGTGCGTTCGAGCTACTCTGCGGAAACACTGGCAGCAGCCCACAACTTGGAAGACTGCTACCCGACCATTGTAACGCTCCACGAGCTACACTCGGGACCATTGACCCCCACACAGTTAAAGAACATATTGGAAATGGGTGGTCTATGTATCAAAGTCACTCTGACTATTGATGCCGAGTCTGTCTTCAAGTCTTTGTCTAGCAAAGATCTGAAGAAGCCCACAGAATGCACTCTGCTTGGGCACATTAGCTGGATCCGCCAGATGATGGAGCGCGGAATCGTTGAAAGCGTCCAATGGTGTGACACGCGGGATATGACTGCCGATGGTCATACCAAAGGTAGTATTGACCGCGCGTTGCTCCTACAGGTAATGGCCGGCCAGCAATCCTTCAAGCACGAGCTGAAGAAACATACTCCGTATAGGGCGGGCAGGTCGTCTCAGGACGGCCCTGCCTCCCGAGCTAGCGGGGGAACCCGCATGCAGGTGCGCTCTAGTAGCGAGGAAACTCGCCGGTAGCGAGGCTACTCGCGTGCCCTTACCTTGTAGGCAGCCGCTGTTGCCTAGCACTGCTTTTTCCGCGTAATGAAGAAGTGCGGTGCTTGCTCGTCTCCTCCCCCTCCAACTTTAAACGGAGAGGGTTAAAGGCGAGATGTATATCGAGCATGCACCGCTGCCGTGCCTGGCTCAAGCCGGGCCCGGCCTAACATGTGATTGTGCCTCATTGAGGCGCACTACTTGCATCTGAGATCGGAAAAGACCTTTCTATTGACGATGCCCCTTCTATCCTTTACTCCAGATCCCATGCTTCACCTTCTCTCTCTTGCTCATGCGATATGAGACAAAGCCTGGGATATGGGAGCGCCTAAGACGGAACATATATCTTGGCTTACCAGTGCGTTTTCGACTTGTACACTTGCTCTTATGACTATCGCATGACGGCCTGCACGCGCATGCTCGCCCGGGCCGTGGAGAGATGGAGGAGGAGGAGGAGGAGGATGAGGAGGAGGAGGAGGAGGAGCAGGAGAAAAAGGGATGAGCACGACAATGATGAGGAAAGGAAACGGTGGAGGGGTGGATGAGATAAGGATGAGGAGGAGGAGGAGGAAGAGGGAAAGACGGATGCGTGGGGGGGTTGCTGACAGCTTCAAAGTTTGGCAGGCATTGTGCCCCAGTACCAGTTCCGCGTGCGAGTCGAGTGCCCCACCGACGCTTGCCCGGCCAACAACAACAATCGCATGAAGCTCGTCCAAGCCGACTCGGCAAACGATTTACCGTCTTGGTCACCTCAGAGCGGTTGCGGAACGGCGCAGCACGGCGTGTTAGGCACGACCGCGGGCCGTTGTAATAATTTCGGTGGTTGTTCTGAATGTGTTCCGTCTTTGTTCCGTCATCTTGTCACACATGTGCATGCTCCTCGTTCGCCCTCCCATGTCTTTTCAATACATGTCTTCCCTTGCTTGCACTCCCTCTCCATCCCCTGCCCCCTCCTTCCGTCTCTCTCTCTTTCTCTCTTTGGCACTGTTTGAGTTTATTTTGCATGGTTTGGCAGTGCTTGGTATTGCTTGTTATTATTGGCGTTGCTTTACATTACTTGGCACTGCTAGGCATTGCATGATTTGGCAATAGCTGTGGTGTGGTTGCTTGGCACTGCTCAGCACTGCAAAGGCAATCCCGGGCGAGGCAGTGCTTGGCATGGTTTGGCGTTGTTTGCTAATGCTTGGCGTTGCTCAGCGCTGCTTGGCATTGCTTGCGATTGCCTGGCATTGTTTGTCATTGTTTGGTATTGCTTGGCATTGCGCTGCGTTAGACGGACAAGCCCGGGGAGCGTATGCCAGGAAGGGCCTCACACCCGTCGAGATTCTTTCCCAAGCAATAAGGAGACCCCTGGGCATAGCTTAATGGGGGAATCAGCTTATCCTGGAACAGTCCGTAGGCGAGCTGCCGTGAGAGTGGAGGTGGACCAGCATGAATAGTGAAGCAAAGAAGGGGGCACCAGTCATCCAGCCAAAAGTTGGGATACGCCGGGGCAGACCTCAACAATCCAACATTTCTGGACGTTTCGAGTACCCCGACCAGCCCGTCCGGCCAATTAGTTTCGGCCGCAGCCCGACCGTTACTCGCCGCCGCTGGCGCTCCCGCCCGCGGCTGTTAAAAAAAAAGTACCCCGACCAGCCCATCCAAAACTGATCGCCAGCCGAATTGCCCTGATCAGAAAGGCTAGAAGCATCAAGTGGAACAGGCATGTGAGTTAGCCGTCAAGCCCAAGCTCTGAATGGACTTGAGCATTCCCTGTTTTTTTTGGCTTGCCGTCAAAGACGGAAAGAAGACAGAAGAGACCATGGAGAAAGAAGGGGAGTAGGGAAGAGGATGAATTGGGGTAGGCAGGTGGAGGAGGAGCAGGAGCAGGAGGAATGGGGTGACGACGATGTTTACGATGACGACGACAACGGCAGGAGTCAACCAGAAAGACCGTCGCAGATCTTTCGCTCCACGAACCTCTAGGAGCCATCGTGGGAGCTTCCAAGGCCCGCTGTGCCCTTCGTGGGGCACCCGCCCCCAATTCGGGACAGCCCTCGCAAGCTTCGTGGCCCCATGGGGAGCCCCACCTAGTTAGGGCAACAGTGGCACAGCTCGCATGGCGCACCCGCCCCGAATTCGGCACACCCCTCGCACGCTACGTGGTCACATAGAGAGCTTGCCACCTAGGGCTTCAGTGGCACAGCTGGCATGGCAGCTCCCTCGGTTGCATCTCGCATCGCATGGAGCTCAGCTCGCCTCTGCGCGCCTGGTCCGCCGCCCCACATCCGCACTGCCCCCTACCGCGGCGCGCTGCGTATGAGGAGAGGGGCATGCCACTCCTGCACAGGGTCGGGTCCCTCGCCAGGCTATTTGCGGTCACTCCCAGTGGTTTTCCGATTCTGGTCATCAGGCGCCCTTCTTTGGGGGCCCAGGAGCATCAGTGAACAACCTGGCATGGCACACTGGCCCCAGAGATGTGGTCGAGAGCTCGGTGGACTTGGGTTGAAAAACCAATCCCTCCGATGCTTCGGCATATTCTTCCATATATAGATTGTCATTGCTTGATGCTGCTCGTCCTGGCTCTTCTCCTCTGCGTCGCACCACCGTCCTTCTGTCACCCCTGTCTTTGCGACCCGCTGCTGTTTTCTGGTAGCCCCTTGCTTTGCCTGCCTCCAACAAGCCTTCCTGCAGCACACGAGTCGCGGTGCCCCAGGCACCACCAACGTGTTCCCGGAGACGACCGACGACGGAGGCGGCACCATCAACCCCCAGAATTGCGCAGGGCCGCTGGAATGTTCCCTCTCGGGCGGCTCGCGACAGGACCAGACAAGAGAAGGAGAGACGCAGCAGGGCGAGCCAGACGGAAGAGACGCCAAGCATTTCAATTAAGAGTTGATTTCCCGTCTCCTGCGCGCTCTCCCCTCTCTGGGCGGTCGGGCCGAGCAGACTTCACACAGATACAGAGGCTGTGGTCTGCGGTTCAAGGCGCTTCGGCACGTTACTCGGCTCCACGCCGCACCCCTCGTTTAGTTATGTTGCAGGTCGTGGGAGGTTGAATTGGGCATCGGTCGCGTGGGGAGGAGGAGGGTGAGGAGGAGGCAGAGCGGGAGGATGAGGAGGATTCGGATTCGGATTCGGAACGCTTGCGTAGCAAGATCAACACACTAAGCCTTGGGATGGAGGCCTCGCTCGAATCGAGAAAGATACTCCCTCTTCTTCTTGGTTATAAAGGCGGGTTTGCACGGTCTTGCAAGGCCTCTAAGCTGCTCACGGCAGAAAAACCCGCAAGGTTTGCAAATCCAAACACCAGATTTATCGTGATAAATCATACATGAGAGCCGTCAACCCATCCACCCCCTAAATGAACTCCCGCCTGAGGCTGAACGATATCCCCCACAACACAAGAGAGAGGCTCACATCGCGAGCCTAGCCACGCGACGCGTCCTGCCTTGTTGCTGGTGTTCTTGCACCGCTGGCAGCTCTGCCCGTCCTCGGAGACGACGTGCTCCGATGTGAAGAGGGCGAGGGCAGCCGCAACAGGCGGCTGAGGGGGAGGAGGAGGAGGAGGAGGGGAAGGGGAAACACTGGGATCAGCGGCAGCGGCTTCAGCTTCGGACCTCCGTTTTTCGGCCATCTTGAGCTCTCTGCTGGCGGCAGTCGATTCCAAGGTGGACCTCAATAAACGTTTCCGTACGAGAGCAGCTTTCCTTTCCCAGGTTGCCAAACGATGACGGGTCTGCTCGGAAACTCTATGTTTGTCAGCAGCAATTCCTGCAAGCTCATCGGCTACGATGTTCCCCGAATACATCCAGGGCAAGATATTTTTGTTCACAATCTCGAGTGATGTCAGATGCGACGGTACCCAGAGAACTGTGATACATTCAGACGGCCGATCCTGCAGGTGCCTACCGATCTCTCTCCAAACTGGGGCGAGTGCTCCTCTAGGGTTCCTCCACCTGCCTTCCCACCACCCACGCACGACCTCATCGTTGTCTGAAACGAAAGTCATGTGGCCAGTAGTTAGACGGATCCCCAATTCTAGAGCACAAAGTTCACCTCGAGGTACCGTTTGAGGCGAGCCAACCAAGGGCCCTGAAACAGTACAATCAACAGCAAAAGGTTCACGAGTAGCAATTTTGACGATAGCCAAACCCACTCGCCGAAGACGAACATCCCGAGACTCCTTGCCCCCAGACGCGTCCCCGCAAAAAATAATGGGCTGCGATTCTGTACCATGCCCAAGACGCCCTGATATAAGGTCTGCGGACAAATGCCTATTCATATCTGCATACATGTGTTTCTCAATGCTGAAACCGCTGGTGACCCACTGTTCGGATCAACAGGTGGTTCCACCACCATCTTGCACCGAGGGATGAGACCGCGGTGCCAACAACATGTTTCGACTTCGCTATGCTGTATTGCCTCCAAGACGAGCTCGCCGGGTTCTTCGTACACTTTATGTCCTGTGTTCTTGGAACATAACCAATGCCGGTGTACTGGAGTTCTTGGCTCGACTTGACAGCGCGGGCAAAGGCTCGTAGACTGCAGACCTGCGTCCTGCTTGCGGGTTTCCAACCACGCACCTCCAGCAGCTATGCAAAGAAGAAGTTCAGAGAGTTGCCTTCCGTGGGGCACATTTCGCAACTGGGTGAGCAAAATTCGGAAGCTCTGGTTATCCACACCGCCTTCCATGCCTGCTCCACAGTAATGAGCCGAAGCTTCTTGCCACTGTAGAGCTTGCAAACTGGCAGTGTAGTCATCCACGAGCCCCCTAGCCTGGTCCAAGGTGTGCAACTGGTTAGCATCAAAGTGCCAGGAGAAGCCAGGCCCATGCCAAATGTGTGGGGCTTCTGGTTCCCATCCGAGTAGGAGCAGCTGATGAATAAGAGCCCCTAGAGGCACCCGAATGTGCCGAGTACGCCTGTTAGGTTCCAAACTCTTCATATGATCCGCAACAAGAGGCCAGGCGCGCGCAATACCAGATCGGGCTCCTGGTTTGTCTATCCACACATAGAGCCACTGTTGAAGACAAAGAAGCGGAAGCCGAACCCCAGGATCCAGACCAGGCGTCCTGAGGTCCATGACGGTGGTGATACATCTACCTCGCTTGTTGCTTCCTGTCGCAGCTGCTAGACGTCTACGCATGCCTAGTAGAAGATCCCCAAACATACCGTACGCTTGGGTCCCATATGTGGCTCCCGCTTGAGGCCCTGCTTGCTCGATACGCTTGGTAACTTGATACCGTTGAGAAGCAGCTCCAAACCTCCGAAGTTTGTGGCTTTGCTGAATAGCTTTACCAACACGCTGACGACGGACTTGCCGAGCTTGCCGTTTACCTGCGCTGGTATTGATGCCTAAGTATGATGCTTGCAAAGTTGGTGTGACGATGATGCCTTTCTTCTCCAGTCTCTGAGCAACCCTCTTGGCTACCCGATGGACTGAACAGAGCACCGCACTCTTGCTGGCTAAAGACAGACTCCTGGTCAAAAAGGTCGGTGAGATCGCTGATGCTCTTAACCACAGAATCTTCTACGCGCCTCTGGGAGCCTACAACGCCAATGTAGAGATCGTCGGTCCAAATTATTTCTCCCATCCCTGGACTCATGATCTGCATCTGGCTCAGAATAAAAAATGTTAAACACATGGCAAGCCTCGTCCCGCTCCGAATTCCCTGGGTAATGCTTTGGGCCGGTCGAAACCCTTCCGAATAAGCTCCTAGTTGTGCAAGGAGGCGGGCAGCAACACACACCTGCAACTCGAGGAACAAGATGACGGGAGGGAAACCCAGCCTAAGTGCAGCGATGATGAGGTTCTGACACTTGATATTATCATAAAAGCCTTTAATATCTAAAACCGCCTGCCCATAAGTGGTCTGAAGTTTACCCGCGACCTCGGCGTCCAGGACCATCTGAAACGCTTCGGTCAATGGGGGGTTGCCTTCAATTGCCGCATCCCAGGCTGGATTGGAGTCTCTTGACCACTGCTTGGTTAAACCATCGCGTACCAAACTCCAGATACGGCAGAAAATTGGCAAGAGTCCTATGACTCTGTCTCCCGAAGACTTCTTCGGAAGTAGTCGCCAGATACATGCCATCTTCTGCCGCGGCCAAGTGAGTGGCCCTTCGATTGCCTCATACAGCTGCGCGAGATCATGCATGCCGCTTTCAGGAAGACGCTCAACATCTATGGGGCTAAGTTGATCTATACCCATACCTGCTTCAGCTTTCATCCTGCTGGCTGCTTTACGGATCTGTTGAGGCTCAAGAGGCACAAGTTGTTCAAATGTTGTTGCTTCTCTAACAATATTGAACATTGCTTTCAAATAATCAGGGTCGCATGCTTCTGATGCCCAAAGAGATTGAAACTGCTTGACCTTGACGTCGACTATATCTTTAGGACGAAAAAGCCGTTTACTCTGATCAACCTATTCATCTGCAGCATATGGCACATTGCGAGGACATCGGTGCATTGCGCCCAGCGAGCTCCCCTGGGCGACCCAGTCCTGGAAAGACCTAAGCGAAGCCTGGACAGCTCGTCGCCTAGCACGCTGCGCCACTTTCCCTGCCTGCATGTGCATATGTTCAACCAACAATGTGCTGTGCTTCGTGACATCCTTTAACAAGTGTACCCAATGCTCCCAAGAGAAGTTCTGGGCACCATGTATGATAACAGCCTGCACGCCCTCGGGAAAGTCATGAGACAACTTGCACGCAACTGCGCTAAGATGATTGACATGCTGCGCGCCATTGCCTCGAACTCTGTGCCGATGGCATCTCCCTAAGACATTGTGCAATCTAGACCACCAGGTCGCCACTTGATCGCTGAGCGGGGTGTCTCTGAGATGTTCAGCTCTGTGCACGGTATGAATGACAAGCTGCGGGGAATCTGCTCTAGACTTACCTTCGCAAACTTGCCCATGATGCTCTAGGATGCTTCCCTCTAACGTGCGCACCCACGATGCATACATACCACTCTCGCGCAATACACGTGCTCCCCCCACCACAAAAGCTCCCGATGATGCAGCCACTGGCCACACCTGCTCCAGAGACTGAGGTACGAAGCCCACGATGGCCCTGTTGGAGTCCCAAAGGTCGCTGGGAATGTAGAACGACGTACCTGTCGCCTCAACCGCTGCCTGGTGAAACGCTATCCTCTGGGGAAGTATCTTCAGCCTCATTTAAAGGGCGGGAGTTGGGGTGGGGGTGCTCATCATTTTGCTGATTCGGACAACCTTGAGATGGAGGCCGGTCGAACTGAAACTCTCGAGACCAGGGGCCGATTTCCTCGCCCCAATCCCGAGAGCCAGAAACCTGAAAGGGGCCCTCATCTTCCCCAGGAGAAAAATTTAGACCCGCTTGGCTCTCTTCGGCCTGGGGCTCCTGAGTCTGAAACAAATCACCGAAAAACTGCTGACAGGCTTCTTGAAACTTCTGCTGGAAAGCTGTACGTCGCTCCTGTGTTCTCCGCTTGCTAGCTTGAGACTTGCTGCCTACTTGTGCTGCCTGACCTGGGCGTTGCACCTGTGGCAACTTCCTTGGGGGGACTAGGGAGCGTGCGATGAGTTGTAGCCCCTCGCTCCGAAGACGTAGCTGGTGCCCGCAGTGTGTGCCCCACGGCGCATCAAGGATTGCAGTCAACCCTATAACGTATGGAGCGGCCGTCTTCGAGGCTAAAACAAAGTCTATGTGTGATGCTCCTGTACCTGTGATACACGTGTGTTCTACTTCCGAAGTGAAAACAACCCCGCCGACCTTCTCTATGTGCCCGCACGTAGCGAGGTCCTTGTGGCTCATACTGAAGTCTCCCACCATAA